CACCACCAGAAAGATATACCGTTGGAAATAGTTCCCAATAACATTTGTCCCTGCAAAATGGTGTTAAACCCAGCTATAAAAAACAGTTGTGCTATATGGGCCAAAAACTGAATGCGGAAAGAGTCTGATTTTCAATAGGACCTCAAGCAAGCTTCCTTGCTCATCCACTTTGGGTACTCTAACATGTGCCCCTGCAGATGACAAAATCTGCACATACCGAACCCAAATGGATAGAGGGTAGCAATAGAAAAGAATATGAGGGTGAAAAGTAAAGTCCCTAAAGATCTTCTTGCAGGGCTACTAAAGATGAATTAAAGGAATTGAGGACATATAGAAAAGGCCATTTGACTACTGGTAAGATGATATACAAGTAGCCAACTGACAAAGCAGTTAAGGCAATATTCTGCCCTTGCATCCTTAAGCAGTGGGGTAATAGAGAGCAGACAGTTCCTTAGCCATTCTGCCTGGGGACAGCTCTAAATTCAGTAGCATTCCTTGTGCATCAGAGGTCTTGGGACATCACCCATAAACCAGCAGAATATGCTTCCTGGGAGTCATGTCTAACACACAATGGAACTGCTGGACCATTGCTTGTTTTAATTTTCACAGTAGAGGACATTGCTCCCCATGCCCTCATCCTGCTGTGTGCAGCCACTCTGGCAGGCAAAAATTTTGTCCTTAATGCAGAACATGAGCGGGAACAGTTCACAAATTCAGAGAGCATTTTAGGCAGGGTTTTTTGCAGGTTCTAGCAGTACCTGCATTAATACTGACAGATCATAAAAAGTCATCGTCAATGGGGAATCATCAAATGGGGCTGTTTCAAAAGGGATCGGTACTGGGTCTGATGCTATTCAACATTTTTATCAGTGATCTGAAATTAACTATTAAATCACTGCAGATCAAATTTGCAGATGACACAAAGATTGGTAGGGTGGTAAATAATGATGAGGACAGGGCGGTCATGCAGAATGATCTGGATTGCTTGATAAGCTGGGCCCATTCAAACAAAATGTGTTTTAATACATCCAAAGGTCATTCATCGACAGACAAAGAATGTAGGTCATGCCTACAAAGTGGGGGATTGTGTCCTGGAAAGCAGTGACTCTAAAAAGGATTTAGGGGGTATAGTGGACTCAACATGTGTGATGCTATGGCAAAAGAAGGGCTGATGAGATCCTTGGATATATAAACAGGAGGGCCGTGAGTAGGTTTAGGGAGGTGATTTTACCTCTGTATGGGGCATTGGTGGATTGGTAATAGAATCATGTCTTCTGGTGTCCACATTTTAAAAAGTATGTTGAAAATTGCACAGGATGCAGAGAAACAAAATGATTTGAGGGCTGGAGACAACGCCTTACAGTGAGAGACTTAGAGCTCAAACTGTTTAGTTCAGCAGAAAGAACATTGAGAGCAGACTTGATTATGGTGCATAAGTACTTTCATAGAGAGTAAATACCAGACACTAAAAGGCTTCTCAATCAATGCAGAAAGGCAGAACAAGGAACAAGGGATAGACGTTAAAATCAGACAAATTCAAATTAGAAATAAGGCACGCTTTTTTAACAGTGACGGAGATTAAGCATTGGACCATATTACCAAGGGAAGTGGTGGATTCTCCAACTCTGAATGTTTTCAGATCAAGATTGGGTGCCTTTCCGGAAGATATGCTTTAGCCAAACACAAGTTATTGGGCTTATTACAGGGGTAACTGGGTGAAATTTAAGGTCCTGTGTTATACAGGAGGTCAGATTAAATGATCCAATGATTCTTTCTGGCCTTAAAGTCAGTGAACCTATCAATATTCTGTGTGGACAGATTGTTTACAGAGAGAACCATGCCATGGGACTGCTGTGAGATGTTAGTACCAGGTTGATGTTCTTGTAACTACAGTCTGGGGGGAAGGGATAAGCCAGGATAAATTAAAGCTAGACATCTTTATAACAGAGTCAGCATGTCATCTTTTCATGTATCTTTTTGCCCTATTATTATTGATCTATTTGGCTACCAATCAAAGGGATCATTAAAAGGAAAGTCAGAAAAGATGGCGAGAAAAGCCCCATAAAACACTAAATCAGACATGCAGACCTGCTGATGTAGAGCACTACTAATAATAACCGTATTGCATACTTCTATAATGCTTTGCACCTAAGGATTACCAAGCACTTTGCAATCATTAAGAGGTCACTCAACACAACACCTCAATGAAGCAGGTAAGCACTGTACAATTATCCACAGTTTACAGAGGGGGGAAATGAGACTCAGAGAGGTTCAATGATTGGTCCAAGGTGGCACGCCACATCATTTCAGACAGGAATAGAACCCAACTTCCTGGCTCCCGCTTCTGCGTTTTATTCATTAGATCATGCTTCTTCCTGATGCCAGTCCTCATTAGTCAGAGGTATCAAAGGGGCACTTACAGCTTTTCCATTTTCAAGCCATGTGATAGTGGGAACGGGAATGCCAGTTGCCGTGCACCGCAGAGTCACCACAGACCCAAAGGTGACATTGTGGGATTCAGGAGCCTTCAGGATTCTGGCAAAAACTGTTAAGAAGAAAAAAGGTACTAGTTAAGTGACTATTTAAAGATGAAGCTCAGATACTCTTCCTCTTCAGTAAATCTTGAAAGAGGCGGCAGTCCAAGCCCTGCAGTGAATAAACACATTGCATAGATTCACTAGTAAATGAGATACCCTTTTTTCCCCAAGACTGTCATCTTTATGTACATTACACAATACTAGCCAAATTTTGCTTTCAGATTTTTGTGGGCAACTCCAACAAACTGCAGAGGCGAGTGCATGTGCAAGAATTTGGAGGACAGAGTTTGGTGTAGTGGGATAAACCCACGTACAGTGCATTGATGTGGGACAATTTACAATAAATGCACAACAAGCTATGTTTCTGCACGGCATAACCTGATCGCTCATCTACAAATAGTGAAAACTATTTTAAGCTATCGCCCAAGGGACCAGCAGAAATCAGTCATGCACACCATTAACAAGGCGTGGGGGAGGTGCCTTTCATTAAAGTTCAGACAGAATTGTACTGGGAACCTCCAAGAAGGTTTTACCACAGAAGATCCCCCGACTCCTGAAATTCTCCACTCCCATCATATCCTCCACCAAGGGAGGAGTGGCTAGCATTGCACTGAGAGGCAGAACTTGCGGAGGTCAAGGGAAAGCAGGATCCAAGGGCAGCCATGAGCTGTGTCTCTGGCCCCACACTGCTCCATACCCCGTCCACACCCAGTGCTGGCAGCATGTCAGCTAGTGGTCACAAAATAGGAATTTTTCTGCAATAATCGTTTACCTTTTTTGGCAAAAAAAATCAAAACTGAAATATTTAGATTCTGAAATGCCGCCACATTGCCTCGTGATCCCATTCTCCTTGATTGGCCAGGCTCCCTCGTCAGACGAGTCTCCCCTGATGCACCACGGGCACCTCTCTTGGCGAGGGGAGGCAGTGCATCATGGGGGTCCCTGAGCCTGGTGCATAATGGGAGAGGGAAAGCTGGAACGACCACATTGCTATTTTTAGTGCACTAGCTTGAGCCTGGCTTGTACAAGTCTAACTACCTGGGCAGGGAGACTCGCTCCCAGCTGTCGTGTAGACATACCCCAACAGTCTGGGCCTTTACTATAGAGTCATTAGTGTGTCTCCATCGTCTACAAACTCTCTTCAGTGAGCGATGTAGGGGTCTTTTCTTCTGAAAGACCACATACATACAAGACTAGCATTAGCATGAAAATAATTTCCTTATTCATTGTCTTGGGAAGGTAATTTTAACACATTATCTTCCTATATCCTTGAACCTGGTGTTTGCGCTGTATATAGAAATGAGCACTTGTACTACACAGGTTTCATCTAGTTTCACAGGACCTAAGTTAGCTATTTACATTTTGCTCTGGTTATGCAGGCTTGGCAGAATTCGATTTTATATATATTGTGACAACGTTCCTCCTCTATCTTGGTGGGTCTT